TTAAACTACCTTACGGGCCTCCAAATCTAAATTCGGATGCATGCCTAAATCCAAAATCACCATACGAAGCTACTGATATAATCCAAAACTCATTCCGGAGCCGTTTACTCAAAAGTCAAATTTCGGTCAAATTCTTACCGATTAAGCTTCCAAAACTAGATTCCTTCTTCCAATTCGACTCCTATTCACCCGGAAACAGATTCCAACCATGCACACAAGTCGATACACATAATATGATGCTACTCGTGACCTCAAACTGCCGAATCGGATGCAATTGCTCAAAACAACCAGTTGGGTCGTTACATGGTGTTAACTGGTTGTCAGCCACGTCTAGGGGGTAGTTTGGGACGTGACAAGATTACACCATGTAAATTAGTGAAAATTGTGGGTTTAGAGTAAAACCTAAGGTTTTGATAAAAAACAAGATTTAACCACGAAATTTGTTAAGAAATGAAGTGAAATCCATATATTCTTGATCCTTAGGTTATGGGTAACCACTTCCTTCAAAATTTTCCGGAATCCGGGCACGTGGGCCCGGGGATGAATTTTAGGAACCTTGCATTTAGGGTTGGGAAATTTCTTAAATAGTTAGAATATGAACTCTTGAGCATGTATTGACTAGTTCTTACCCCATTTGATTAGTTTTGGATCGTTCGGCTCCGATTTGAGGGTTTGAGCACATTCTTGAGTTTGGAAGTAAGCTTTGGAGCAAGGTGAGTCTCATTTCTAACCTCGTAAAAGGGAATTAACCCTACAGGTGAAGTAAATATATGTATGTGACTATCTGTGGGGGCTACGTACGTACATGGTGACGAGAACCCGTACGTAGCTACTATTATGCTAATTGCCCGGGTAGTTTAGGACCCGTATCATGCTATACTTGCAATGTTTGCGTCCTTGCTTGCTGCTAAGATCATTTAGGACATGCTAGAAATCGGTAAATAAATATAGACGGTTATACTCACTTCCTTGAGGACTTGTGTGAATAATTTGATTATAATTGAGCAATGTGTGCTTACTTGATAATAAATTGCTATTTGTGGATTGGGCCGATCGCCTCGGTAGAAAGTAGATGCATCTATGGTTCGCGTCGTTCGACCCTCTGGCAGTGCACGGTTTATTATTATATCGGACCGAGCTATACGACCTCGGCACAATGTGTGCATGTTATTTATGTGGAACTCTTCTGTGCTTTACACTGCTTAAATGCTTAGAAATGTAACTTATTACATGATATGACTGAAATTGATTTATTGTTAAGAAGTAATATCTTATTTCTCCTTGTTTTGGAATTGTAATTATATTCATGCTATCCTTGCTGAGCGTAGCACTTAAATATTATTAATATTGACCTTAGTAAGTGTCAGTCGATCCCTCGTCACTACTTCTTCGAGGTTAGACTGTATACTTGCTGGGTACATGTTGTTTATGTACTCATACTACGCTTCTATACTTAACTGTACAGGATCTGAGGCAGGTGCATCTAGTTACCCGTCCGGCGCGTTCCTGATTCCTGATCGAGATCTCACGGTGAGCTGCCCCTTCTGAGCCGTTCAGTAGCATACCGGAGTTCTCTTCTTTTGTTGTTGTTATGTATTGTCTACTCTGTTTCAGGTAGTAGGATAGTGGTATTCTTTTTGTGTATTCCACTAGTTGCCCTAGTACTTGTGACACTAGTTCCTGGCACACACTTTGTGGACTATTATTTTGGGATGTATTTCTATTATTATGAACTCGTTAATTTTCGACTATCTAAAAGTTTAAGGTTAAGAAAAATGTGCAATTGTTTTGGTAAAAATAAATGAGAGCTCACCAGTTGATTAGGGTTGGCTTGCCTGACAACGGTGTTGGGTGCCATCATGACCTATAATAGAATATGGGTCGTGACACAATTATTTCCCATCCTTATTATATCTCTCTTATGCTTTCTCTCTCTCTCATGCTCTCTCTCTCTCTCTCTCTCTCTCTCTCTCTCTCTCTCTCTACGTCTCTTTGTATTTCTCAATCTATAATTCCAGTAATGTAGAGCAAAAAGAGAAGAGAGCAGCAATTCCATCATTGGCAACCATTAAAAAGCTTGAAGTTTTGAATTCGAATTTGGGATTCAAAAAACATTATTTGTTTGAGTTGGATTTTGTTGCAAACAATTGGTAATTCTCTCTACATCTCTCTCTATCTCTCAGTCCCTAATTCCAGTAATGTAAAGCAAAGGAAAAGAGAATAGCAATTCCACCATTGACAACCATTAAAAAACTTTGAAGCTTTGAATTCGAATTTGGATTTTCAAAAACCATTATTTGTTTGGATTGCGTGTTGTTGCAAACAGAAGAAGACATGACATTCATTATACTTATGAATTGTAGTAAAGTTGAAGTAAAATTGTAGAAAAATTATATTCTGGTGTTTATATATATTTTTTTATTTAAATATTGTATGAAAGTTGAACAATACTGTATAAAAATTGTATTTAAGTTGTATGATATTGTAATTGTATATAACTCGGTAGAAATAATGTACGAAAGTTGGAGATAAGTTGTATACTATAATTAGTTGTATGAAATTATTTTTACTATGTATAAATCAAATACAATATATACAAAAGATATATTGTGTAGAATTTGTATAAAATTTGTATTTAAGTTGTATGATATTGTAGTTGTATAACTAGGTAGAAATAATGTATGAAAGTTGTAGATAAATTGTATAATATATAACAAAACATGGTGAGTTCGATAAAGTTACCCGTTATTACACTAAATTTTATTGAATTTAACTTATGTACAAACGATAGTCTAACCGTTTTTTACACTTCCATTGCAATTTAACCCGTTGAAACAAGTTAGCTGTTATAGCTTCCAGGTAACTAGTTTACTTATTTTATGCCTTTACCTATAATTATCTCTTTTACATGTCCGTGCATATTAGTAAAATTTGTTTCTCTGATCAAGTCTATATTTTATTAGTAGTAAGAATAAACACTTACTCGATCAAGCTTGTAAGTAAGGTTGGTGGTTTCTGCATTCTGCTTGGCGAGCTCATCGCGAATGCTTCAACAACGGGTTGCAACTTAGAGTGAGCCACGTCTAATCATTGATTTATTATCGAGTTGAAAAATGTTAAAAAAATCTTAATGAACACTTGAATAATAGTGATAAGCTTTTCCAAGTTAATTAAGGAAAGGGTGTTTGAAACTACAGTGATTGTATTTCGAAAATACAATTTAAAATCAGAATTCATCTAGAAAATGTCAGAAAAAGACTTGAAGAATGGGTATCAAACACACCAAGAGGGGAGGGAAGAGGGGAGAGAGGAGAGAAAAAAAAAAGGGTGTAACTAAATCTCTTGATTGAAGGCACAAATAATGGATTGGGAGCCTTTTAAGGTGGATTGTATATATTTTGTAACTAAAATGTGTTTGTCGGGTAAATATCAAAACATGGACATTTTTTGTAATAAAATTTAAAATAGTGTATAGGAATAGAAAAATACATTAAAAAATAAAAAAACCATTATTGTTCTAGCCCGAAATTACTGGGTTCTTTAAGAAAAAATGGGGCATTTGTATCTATACCCGCTTTTTGTGTCACTTTTTAACTTGTGTCCGCTTTGCAAAAAAAATTGCAAGCGTACCCGCTTTTTCGCATAACTTCAGCATACGGAGCTGAAGTAGCAAAGGCAATCACACAAAACTTCAGCATTCTAGTAGACGGGCCTGAAGTTCAGCTCTAGAGCTGAAGTTTTTGTTTTGTAACTGGCGAAGTTTTTGTTTTTGTAACTGGCGATTTCAGCTCTAGAGCTGAAGTTTTTGTTTTGTAACTGGCGAACTTCAGCTCTAGAGCTGAAGTTTTTGTTTGTAACTGGCGAACTTCAGGTCTAGAGCTGAAGTTTTTGTTTTTGTAACTGGCAAACTTCAGCTCTTTGTAACTGGCGAACTTTAGCTCTAGAGCTGAAGTTTTTGTTTGTAACTGGAGAACTTCAGCTCTAGAGCTGAAGTTTTTGTTTTTGTAACTGGCGAGAGCTGAAGTATTTGTTTTGTAACTGGCGAACTTCAGCTGAAGTTTTTGTTTTGTAACTGACGAATTTCAGCTCTAGAACTGAAGTACATTGTTCTTATGGCAGCAACACCATTTTCATTATCGACGTCATCGTTGAACACATGAGCAAGCGTTACGAAGCATTTCTGTGCCACTGTCGTCTTTGTCAATCTTACTTACAAGTAACACTGCAATTGATGCTCAAAAATTTAATTTTTGGAATTGATGTTTCCAACTCATTGTTGTGCAATAAGAAACAAAATGTGATAATGATGCTGGGTGTATTTCTGTGACAAATACATCTCTGTGATTCCATTCTAATTGAATGGGTACAAAAAAAAAAAAAAAAAATAGAGAAGCAGATAGCGAAAAATTGAGCAATGAAGATGAAGGAAGTCAAGCCTTTCACTGGTTAGACGCTAGTATTCAATAATTGAGATAGTGATCTTTTTCTCTCTAGTCCGGTGATGGTGATGGAGAAGGAGGAGGAGAAAGGGGGCTGAAGCTGTTTAAAAAGTGGGTAAAAGTTAAACGTTTTATAAAAACTGGGTATAGGTTAAATGGGGGCAATCAAATACGGCGCCTCGTGCAATTTTTACGAAAAAAATACTCAAATTTACTCCTTACTTTTTGGTCATGGGTTAAACTTACCTTCATATTGGAGTCAATAAAAAATACTACGTATCTTTTTTACACCGTAAGAGTAAAGTTACTTAATTTCGAATAGTACATGAACGAATTGAACCTTTTTCCATTTAATTTCATTTTTCTTCTTCTTCCTATTGTTTCGGGGTGAGAAGAGGAAGGGGGTGAGTGGGGTTAAAACTTGTCAAACATATGTTAAATAGCACCAAAATGTATACTCACCTATAGGTAGGCCAGATTCATTTTCTTTCTTTATTGTACATTTATTTGCAAAATTGACAAATAAAAAAAAAAATTATCCGTACACCTTGAATTTCTTTCGTCATCACTGACTTCAACAACTCTGCATTTTTATATGCCACCCACTTTATCGCATCTCCGGCAATAGATATTCTTTACTCAGATTCATGTCTTTTTCTCTTTGTCCACTTAGGATTCAGAATCTTATAACAAAATCCTTCATTATAAACCTGTCAAACAGTTTCCAAACGAGAAAGAAACATGGTTGACTATCAAGAAACACAACATGAAATCTCAGCTCCACTTAGTAAGCATTCACAAATTCCTCCTTTTCTTTATAATTGCTCTTTCACTTCTCCTGTTCTTACATCTTCACTAACAGTCTTATTATAGGCTGAGTCGATTCAGGATTTAAATTTGATGATTCTGAATCTTTTGGAATCTTAGTGATTTTCAAATTTAAATCCTGAGCTTAAAGAATGAAGTGAAATTCATATAGTCGATCCCAATTTGTTTGGGATTGTGGCATAATTATTGTTTATCTCTATCTCGTACAGAAATCTATGTTGCTCGGACTCTTCAATTGCGTGTCCGATCCTCCAAAAATAGTATATTTTTGGAGGATCTGATACGAGTACAGCATCATTTTTGGAGAGTTAGCACAACATATTTTTTCCGAACATAAGCATAGTTGACTTATAAATTTGAATCTACTCATCCAAATTTTGCAGTTGAGAAGCAAAATAAGAAGGAGATATCTTCACACGATAGCGATGTTTCGAGCAGTACTCAGCTCTCACCATTCGAAGATGAAAACTCGCCAATCGAGCAAGTGGCGCTCACGGTTCCAATCACAGACGAATCTTCACTTCCGGTCGTCACTTTCCGAATGTGGATACTCGGAACCCTAGCTTGTATTCTCCTCTCATTTCTCAACCAATTCTTCTGGTTCCGCCGTGAGCCGCTCTCAATCAGCTCAATCTCCGCCCAAATCGCCGTCGTACCTCTCGGTCACCTCATGGCTTTTCTAATCCCGAATCGAGTTTTCTTCAAAGGAAGAAAATTCGAATTTACGTTAAATCCAGGACCGTTTAATGTGAAAGAGCATGTTTTAATTACGATTTTTGCAAATTCTGGTGCTGGAAATCCTTATGCGATTCACATTGTTAGTGCGGTCAAGGTTTTTTACAAGAGGACGTTGACTTTTTGGGTATCGTTGATTGTTGTTCTAACGACTCAGGTTTTGGGCTTTGGATGGGCTGGGATTTTTCGGAGGTATTTGGTGGAGCCCGCTGCTATGTGGTGGCCCCACAATCTTGTTCAGGTTTCTCTTTTCAGGTATGTGCTAATCCACTCAACGTATCGTGTTGAACTTTCCAATATTTTGGGACATCATTTGAGATTCTGCCACGTGGCAGTCAACTAAGTAGTGAATCTTTGATAGTATACTTTTGTGGGAAGGAATTCTGCTTTTGTTTGTCAAAAAGGTTACTCCATTACTGAGGTAGAAAAGTTCTCCACTAAGTTGTTGGATGGAGGAATTAGAAAAGATAATTTTCTAAAAATAAATAATACATTGTTTGATTAGAAGGATTAGAAAAGGTAATCCGTGAATAACTAATGCAGTGTATGGTAGGCCGTGAGAGTGGCGGATTCATGATTTTAAAGTCATGGGTGCTAGCCGATAAAGATTTTGAAAGAAGGGTGCTCACTCAATATTTATCTAAATATTTTTATAATTGCCTATGCAAATTTACTAAATCTGGTCAAAGATAATGGGTGCTTGAGCACCCACAAGTCACAATGTAGACCCGCCAGCCGTGTAGAAATATTAATTTATGTATAATAATTTATGTCTCTGAGCCGAGGGTCTCCCGGAAACAGCCTCTCTATCCCTTCGGGGTAGGGGTAAGGTATGCGTACATTCTACCCTCCCCAAGCCCCACTAGTGAGATTCTACTGGGTGGTTGTTGTTGTAGTAATTCAGCATTTGGTTAACAGTATTAACTTATGCAAAAATCTGTGTATTGTTTTTTGAGAGAACGTCAAAGTATGCGGTATTTAGGAGAGAACTTTAAACACAAATTATGCTGTTAATAACTTATAGAGGTTTTCACTTCTGAATGGCAGGGCACTTCATGAAAAAGAAGAGAGAGCCAAGAATGAAATGACGCGAAACCAGTTCTTCCTCATTGCCTTTTTATGTAGCTTTGCTTACTATGTGTTTCCTGGTTACCTTTTCCCAATGCTAAGTTCACTTTCCTGGCTATGTTGGTTATTCCCAGCTTCTGTCCTTGCCCAACAGTTGGGTTCTGGACTTCATGGTCTTGGAATCGGTGCCATTGGACTAGACTGGTCTAGTATATCCTCTTATCTTGGAAGTCCATTAGCTAGCCCGTGGTTCGCTACTGCAAATATTGCTGTTGGATATTTTCTCATAATGTATGTTGTTACACCTTTTATGTACTGGTTCAATGTGTACAAAGCCAAAACTTTTCCAATATTCTCAGATGGCCTCTTCACCTCAGATGGTCAAAAATACAACATTTCGGCCATTATAGATCCCAACTTCCATATTGATTTCAATGCATATGACCGCGAGGGCCGCCTCTATCTCAGCACTTTCTTTTCGATGACTTATGCATTCAGCTTTGCCTGCCTCAGTGCCACAGTTGTTCATGTCTTCCTCTTCCATGGACGGTAAGTTTGCAATTTTGGACAAATGATTATTTTTGCTGGTTGGATGCCTATTTTTGTGTATTGTATCTCTTTGTCTATGTCCTATTCTGTGTAGCTGAGTCTTTATGCAATGTACTTCTGTTGCAACTCGATTCACGTCTAAATTGACTCTAAAGAGTAAAAAAGGAAAAGACAAATTTTTTTGATGTTTCAAAAGTGCTTAGCATATAGGGTGTTATACACTTCACAACTAATATAATCACAGATATCACGAAGATAACACTTGTCGATATAGTAATCTATGTACTAAAACATTTAAATCAGAAAGAATCAGATAAGTCACTATTTGCAAGTTGTGATTAACATTAATTTGCAAACAAAATGTGTGCATTCTATTGGCAAAATATCTTGTCCAAGGCAAAAGTTGAATTGACAGATTGATATGCTAGAACACGTGATACTATATGTGATTTCAAAGGCTGCTGGCTGATGAACTGAATTGTCTATGAGAAGTTTCACCTTTTCTTTTCCACCTAGATCTGATACTCCATGTAAAGCTTAGATTTAGTGCACATGACAGCAAATACAAACTCAATCAATTTTGAAATGTAGAGATCTATGGCAGCTGAGCAAGTCAGCTTTCCAAGAGAAGAAAATGGATATTCACACAAAACTCATGAGAAAATACAAGCAAGTTCCTGAATGGTGGTTTTTAAGCATTCTTCTTGTAAATATCGCTGCAACTGTGTTTATTTGTGAATATTACAAAACGCAGCTCCAATTACCATGGTGGGGTGTCTTGGTGGCATGTGGTCTTGCTTTCTTTTTCACCCTTCCGGTCGGAGTCATCACTGCCACCACAAACCAAGTAATGTGCTATATTTCATAGCTGTTTGTAATCATACAAGCTATCTTCTATTCTTGGTCATTCTAAACTTTCAATATCTTTTTGCACAGACTCCTGGTTTGAATGTGATCACAGAGTACATAATTGGGTACTTGTACCCCGGGTATCCAGTAGCTAACATGTGCTTTAAGGTGTACGGATATATCAGCATGAAACAAGGACTAACCTTTTTACAAGACTTAAAGCTTGGACATTATATGAAGATTCCTCCTAGGGCAATGTTTATGGCTCAGGTTGGCTTTTCTTTCTTTCTGCATCAGTCAATTCATACGTGTTGGCATATGAAACAACTTGGGTACCTCGTTTAGTGAGTAGTCCTACAAACCATGATTTTTTTTGATAACCATGGTGTCCGGACCAGCTTGCGCTTACCTCGACTAATTCCACGGGATACCTGCTACCTCCCGTCAGCAGCAGGTATCAGTAACTCTGTCCACCAAAGCTTGGACATACGGGGAAATCACCTAGGGTTTTTGCCACCGTTGGGATTTGAACTTGAGATATCATGGTTCTCAATCCACTTCATTGACCATTACGCTACACCCTTGAGTGCCCTTCAAACCATAACATTTGTGCACTGTTTAATCAGGTTGTTGGAACCTTGATATCAGCTTTGGTGCATCTTGGAACAGCATGGTGGCTTATGGAAACCGTCCCAGATATTTGTGACCGGGCTTTGCTTCCTCCTGGAAGCCCGTGGACTTGCCCAGGCGATCATGTATTTTATGATGCCTCAGTCATCTGGGGTTTGATTGGGCCGCAAAGAATTTTTGGAAATCTTGGCCATTACTCTGCCCTGAATTGGGCTTTCTTGTTTGGAGCTATAGCTCCAGTCATTGTTTGGATTGCACACAAGAGTTTCCCTAACCAGCAGTGGATCAGGTTAATTACAGTGCCTGTTTTATTAGCCGGGATAATCAACATGCCACCAGCTACTTCTGTTAACTACAACAGTTGGATCATCATAGCTTTTATTTCTGGATTTGTTGTTTATAGATACTATCAGAAATTGTGGAGTCGTCACAATTATGTTTTATCTGGGGCATTAGATGCTGGATTAGCATTCATGGGGGTATTGTTGTATTTATGCTTGGGAATGCAGCATGTTCGCCTTGACTGGTGGGGAAGTTTTGCGGATCGATGTCCCTTGGCTTCTTGTCCAACAGCTGAAGGGGTTGTGGTTAAAGGATGCCCAGTGTTTTAGGTGATCAGTGAAAAGATCAGTACCATGTGTTTGATTATTCTTTTGGTGTATATGTTTGTAAATGAATGTATATAAGTAATCTTTGCATTTTTCTTAAATACATTATTGTGAGGATTTGTGCAACTCTTCACACTTTTACTACAGGAATTCAGTTTCATTACAAAGTTGCAGTGCTGTGTCTCAAATTGTAGTGTAGTGTATGTTGTAATGGTATAACATTTCCTGGTTTCCACTACATAGGTTCCATTAGGCTGTAAGGAAGTCCTAACTCAAATAAATACCATGTATATTTGTACTGTTGAATTGATGGATTTTTCCAGTTTGCATTCCCTTTGATTGGTAAAACATTGTGAAAAGCGCCAATAAGACATGGGATTTTGTTGTCATTATTTTGATTGAATTTGTGTACAAGTGCCAGTAACTACAGTAGCTTGCAAACTTTCTTAAAGTCCTTGTTTGGCCAAGCTTCTAGGAGGCCACAAAAAAAGGCAAACTTTCTTAAAACCCTGTTTGGCCAAGCTTTTAGGAGGCCAAAAGTACTTTTTTTGGCCAAAAAAGTACTTTTTGAAAAATTTAAGGTGTTTGGCCAAAATGAAAAAGTACTTCTTAGCAGCAGCAGAAGCAGTGAGGAGAAGCTACAAATTCTAGCTTCTTCCAAAAAGCAGAAGCAGAAAGTTAATTTATTCAAGACAAAAATAACCTTACAATAAATTTATATTTTTCAAATTATCCCTCGTTAATTTAATTTTTCTTTTTCTTTTCCTTTTCCTTTTTTTTTCTGCTATACATTTATTCTCTTTTTTATCTTAATCAAATCCATAAAAAAGTGCTTGTCCACCTTTTGCCCATGCTATGTTTGAAACCCGGTCAGCTTGGGGCTGACTACAAAGTGAGCCGAAATTTAAGTCTCGCACAGACAATTTGAAGTAATCGTTATCCTTATCATACATAGTGTATGCCAGATATCGGTGATCTGGGGACACTTCTGATAATTCTTCATATGCATAACCTTTAATTAAACAAAGTAAAAAGGGTTAAGCGCCATGAGTAAAACAAACCATAAAAGCAGCAACATCTCGACTCCAAACTAGATTGGGGTCGGATATAGAAATTTCTCAACATACATTCCTCTCCATTTTGAAATCAATATAAAAACAAAGTGGTGAAAGAGCTAAACCTCCAAATTTTTCAGCTTCTTCATTGTAGTCAAGAAGCTTCTGCTCAATTCTCTTGCCCGAAGTTAAAATNCAGAAGCAGAAGCAGAAGCAGAAAGTTAATTTATTCAAGACAAAAATAACCTTACAATAAATTTATATTTTTTAAATTATCTCTCATTAATTTAATTTTTCTTTTTCTTTTCCTTTTCTATTTTCTTTTTTTTTTCTGCTATACATTTATTCTCTTTTTTATTTTAATCAAATTTTTATTCTCTTTCTCCTATTCTTAATAGTAGATTTTAAATTATATTGAATGATGTATTTTGACATATTTAAATTATCATATAAATAATAAGTAATACCAAACACTCAATATTGTTGCTTTGGAATAACTATATTTACATTAATTAGAATTTTTAATTTATATTTTTACTTTAGGTTTTATATTTTAATTGAATTCTTTTCTACTAAATGTTTAAATTTATTTTTCTTTTCTAAATAATACTAATCGCAAATTGAACCTTTACTGTCCTTTTTCGTAATTTGATACTTAAAAGTATTTTTTTAAAAGATTGGCCAAATACGATGAGCTTGCAAAAAGCACTACTCTAACGAATCGGCTAAACACAAACTACTTATTTTGCAAAAGTACTTTTTCATAAAGCACTTTTGAATAAAAGCGCTTTTCAAAATAAGTAGTTTTTGACAGTTTGGCCAAATGGGCTCTTAATTAATAGAGCAAAAAACATAAGTAGGCAAAAAAATAGGAAAATTTCCACTGATTTAGCACCATTAGGTATTTACACATAAGGCCACAAAATAATTATATTCCTAGCCAAAATCCTTTAAACCCTGTACCTTAATTCACGCATCCAAGTAAACAGACTTTCAGTTACATTGGTTAACATCCTTAGCGTTAATTAAGGTGACTAACCTCCTTAGCGTCAGACAATTGATATTTGTAATGGCCGTAATCCTTTTTGCAGTTTGAGTGGCATGAGACAAGTAAACAGACTTTCAGTTACACTGGACTTGGTGGTAATCACTGTTATTTTTGCTCTGTCTTATGATATATATTGGTTGCATATTTAGATATGTTTTTCTTTTTATATCAAGTATCTTTTAACGTAATCAGGTTTATACCACATATAATTTACAATTATACCATATATTTTCGCGTTTCGGGTGTTTGACATATGCACATCAATGATATATTCCTAGTATAAGTTTATGTCAGGTATATACAAATGGAACCTAATTGCTGACATGCTTATCATTTAAGTTAGTATTTCAGTGATTTGCCAACTTTTTTTTTACTATTATACGTTATTGGTATAATAATTTAATATATCTTGAAATACGCAAAGTCTATCAAGATGCTGATGTTGGCACTACAGATTCAGCAAAAGATCCCATGGAAGAATATTATATTAACGTCCCCGAATCCCAGATCGTTAAAAATACAAACCCTGCAATAGCTGGTAAGTATGCTTGATATATTGTATCATTTCAGTAAATATGCCATAGATATCCCCATATTTATTCCTTAAATCTTTCCATATATGTAGTATTACTTGGGTATATTTTTATACCCCCATGTATAATTTTGACTACACATTATATTCATGTTATATTTTTTTTTTATGAGTACGCATTTTTCACTTTTCATGTTATGTATAACTTATTATACACATTCTACATGTATTAATTTTCTCTGGAATGTGTATTAGTTTAATAAAGTTAATCAATATGCTAATGTTGTGCTTGATATTCAGCCAAAGATCCCTCGGAGAAAAATTATATTGACGTCCCCGAATCCCATTTCATATGTTTCGAATATTGTGGAATGATTGAGCGAAATCTCAGTAACTGTAATGGAATCCCGCTGCTAGATCGAGTGATCCGAGAAATAAGACAAGAGATTGAGAAAATATGAAGAGTGAGGAGAAACTATGGGTTCTTTTGAAAAAGACGATGTGAGAGAGAGAGTGCTTTGCAACTATCCCATGATTTGTGCCTTTTTCTCTGTTCATTAATTATTTGCTTATTTTTACAATATGCCATTAGTGTAAAAAAAAAAGGAAAAATTTCATATTAAAACAATTGGGCTGCCTCCTTTTAGCTTTATAGCCCATATTTCAATTTACAATTGAGTAGCCCAAAAATTATAGGCCCATATCTGAAAAAGGAGCGTTAATTCGGTTTTTTTGGGAGTAAAAAGCGGGATTTTCTGCATTTTCTCAGATTCTTTCCAATCTTCTTCCCCAAATACTTCAAAAACGAGATCTTCCTATGAATGCAGCTCCAAAAACCCTAGAATTTCTTCTTCATCTCGAATTAACAACAAATCAAACACGAAAAGTAAAATTTGTTTGCTGCAAAACAGCGCAATTTTAGTTTTTGCTTCAATTTTGATTTCCATTTTTTGTTCGATGGAGATTTTTCCAGTTTACGTTCTTCATAGCGGTGAATGGGAAGAAAACAAGTTTATAAATTTCGTCAGCGATTATGTAATAATCGAGTCGACATTCACCTACAACAATTTAGTTGCAGCAATTTCGGAACAGATTAGGATCAATAGTGAGTTAAACACAATAGAGATTAACTTTCTCCCAAATGTTGGTTTGCCACCGATCCTGATTTACAACGATACAGGTGTGAAGGTGTATATCGAATTAAAGAAGAAAAACTTGAATTTCACTGAATATCCTTTGTTTGTGACAGTGAAAGAGATATATGAAAATCGTTTGGTTCCTACAAGTTCTAGTTGTGTAGTTGCTACAAGTTCCAGCTATTTGGTTGGTACAAGTTCAGATTCTAGAGATGTATCAACAATTGATAGCACTGAGATTATTGATATCAAATTTATTGAAAACACGAAATTTAGTGAAAACACGGGTATAATAGATGATATATTGAACGAATTTGTTGAGGAAGATCAAGTTTTTAAGGATAAAGAGATAGTTGTCAGTGTGATGAAGAACTTGGCTGTACGTGAGAGGTTCCAATTCAAGGTGAAGAGATCAAGCGCAACAAGGTATGTAAATAATTGTATATTTTGTTATATATATGTATAAATATGTATAAAGTAGTATATAAAATATAGGTATTAAAATTAGTATATATGTAGTTATGTTTTTGTATACAAGTGTATTTAGAAGTTGAATGATCTTTAATCCTAGGTATCACCTTATGTGTATGGATGAAAATTGTGCTTGGAGTTTCAAATCTTCTGCCGTTTTCAAGGCAGACATATTCAAAGTGAAAAGTTACAATAATAATCACACATGCGGCTATGGTGAAAGATACTTAACACAACGTCAAGCTACTTCGGGTGTAATTGCTAGTATAGTCAAGGACAAGTATGTTAATCCAAAAAAAGTTTACACTGCAAATGATATAATAGAGGACATACAAAAGTAACACGAAATTGAGGTGAGCTACATGAAAGCGTGGAGAGCTAAAGAGATAGCAATGGCAATGATAAGAGGGAGTCCAAGTGATTCAAATAAGGAGTTGCCGAAGTATTTTTATATGTTGGAGCAAACAAATCTAGGAACGGTTACAAAGTTGCACAAATAAGTAGATGGATGCTTTCTTTATGCACATGTTTCGCTATATGCATCTATCAAGGGCTGGGAGCATTGCAGACCGATAATGGTTGTTGATGGAAGTTTCCTTAAAGCAGCATATAAGGGTACCATATTGACTGCTTGCACACAGGATGGAGCTGGTGAGTTGACTGCATCTACCTTGTTTCTGCAGTTTGTATAATGTTGTAGCTTCATGTATAAAAGTGTATAGGAGTTCACAGCTGCTGTTTTTATAAAACTTGCAGTTGGTATAAAATTGTATAATTGTGTATAACTGTGTATAAGATTTGTATAATTGTCTGAATCCTAATATCTATTTTGTATAAACAGGAAAAATCCTTCCACTTGCATATGCAATTGTAGATTCAGAGAATAACAAATCTTGGGAGTGGTTCTTTGTCCAGATAAAGGGTACTTTTGGAGTTAGGGAAGGGATGTGTATAGTTTCAGATAGAAATGAAAGCATCTTCAATGCCACAAAAGCTGTGTACCCAGAAGTACCACATTGTATTTGCATGTTTCACTTGTGGCAGAATGTAAAGCGCACATTCAAGAAACATCACAAACAATTGAA